AACTGTATGTCCTGCAAACATGTACCAATAAAAAATAAATAAAATCAAGGGCTGGCGAGATAGCTCAGTGGGCTTAAGTGCTTGCTTAGGTAAATGCAGGGGCCAGGGTTCAATCCCTGGCACCACATGCCACAGTGGCCCCGGCACCAGGCACACTGAGCTGGCTATGAAGTATAGATGTGGTGGTGCGCACCTGTAACCTCAGCACTAGGGAGCTGAAAACAGAACGATCACTATGAGTCCAAGCTGCATAGTGAGACCTTGAAAAAAAAAAAAACAGCCTATTTGTGTCTATGGACTTTCGTCCACCTTGTAAAAAAAAATATTTATAGGTGACTATTCTGTTCTTGAGTGTCACACATCTAACAACTTCCTTCATGTTGTTTTATTATAACTTAAAATATTTATTTATTCAAATGTATCTAATTTTTCCAGTGGCATATTGTCAGTAATCTAATGTTTAGAAAGCTAATCTGAATCAAGATTATAAAATGCCCTTCCTCTTAGGGAAGCAACCTTCAGTTTCAATGACTAAATGTGAACCTTTAAACTATTTGGAATGTAGAAAACTGTAATGGCAAAAAAAAAAAAAAAAGAAATCAAACATTTCTCCCAAATATTTTCTCCAAATGTTTGACTATACTCTTCGTACACTACTGATTCTCCTGCTCCCTGTAACATATGAAGAAAATACATATACATATTCATATATATTTCTATTCTGTTCCTCTGATCGATTTTTGATGACTGAAATAAACTATGTATTTATTTTTTTACTGGAGATTGAATTTAGGACCTTGTGCTTGCCAGGCAGGTACATATGCCACTGAACCATCTCCCTGGCCCCAGTAAACTATTTTAGAGTACCACTCTATTTCAAGTTTTAGTACATGCTCATCATGCTTTTTTTTCAGAATTTTCCAATTTTCATTTTATTTAGTCATTTAAAACTAAACTGATTTCATTAGGTTCAAATTTCATTTTTATAACAATTTGTTGAGAAAATAAATAAGAACTGTGTATAATGCTCCCAATTTTATAAAAAAATTACTGTGATCTTCATTTTTTTAAACAATAAAAATAGTTTTAAAAAAGTAGAAACAATAGTGATTCACTGGACAAAGTTATAGAAATTTAACAATAGTTATTATATTGTATATTGTTGTCTTCAAATTAGTTGTTCAGATTACCAGATGCAAGCATGCAGAATTAGGCAAAAACTTACAAAAATATTTTAAAGGAGAAAAAAAATTAAGCATTAACTGCTCCTTCCAACAGATCAAAAATCAGTCCAATTGTGCAGGCTATCCTGCTTCTATACATGTATCTTTTACCTTCTTTCTTTGTTCCTTTTCCTCATTCCAGTTGTTTCTTCTCTTTAAAGTTTCTTCCCCTTTCACAGTATCCATTGTTCCCTTCAGATTTTATTGACTCTTTTAGTCTCCTACACTAGGGAGACAATATGGAATTTACACATGTGAGTCTAATTTATTTCACTTATGATTATGGTCTCTAATTGTATCGATTTATCTATAAAAGCATCGAGGTTGTAGTTTTTATAGCTAATACTCCTTTGTATAAAGATGCATCTTTTATCCATTCCTCAACTGATGCGCATTTGGGTTGTCTCCAAGATTTAGCTATGACAAGTTGTGCTATTAACATGGGGGCACATGTATTGCTGTGGTGTGATGTTTTCAGTTCTTCTGAAAAAATACCCAGGAGGGGAATAAGCTGAGTTGAATAGGAATTGTAGTCCTAGATTTTTGAGAAATCTGCACAGAATTCTACAGCAGTTTTACCAGTCTGTACTCCCAACAACAGTGGAGAAGGGTTCCTTTGTCCCCACAGCCCCTCCAGAACTTATTGGCTGACCTCTTGATGGTAGCTATTCTTTGTGGGTTGAGATAGAATCTTTTGTTTTAATTTGCATTTCTCAATTGACCAATGATGTTGAACATTTTTTCATATATCTATTTGAATTTCTTCATTTGAGAGGTGTATATTCATCTCAGATGTGATCTTTAAATGTATATACATATGCATAATTTCCCAGCTATATGGCAAAGTAGTAAAAATAGGGTTTTTTAAAAAAGTTTTTTCAGGTGTCCTAAGCATCTCCAAATTTCCCTCCCCACTTCTTTGTGTACCTTAGGCTTACTGATAAGACACATCAAAGACCTTCCTTGCCCTCTCATTTCCAATTTTTCCAAAGGGAAATATCCAGCAAGAAAGAGAAGGGCAATGAGTGAAATACTTATCTGTTTTGATCCTGGCTTCTCTTCAGGGTTGCTGTGAGCAAACTCCATCCTGAAAATCAGAGCTGCTATGACGAAGCCCTTCACACACAGATGTACACCATTTCCATTACTCCTCCCCTGTCCCTCCTCCTCCCATTCCTCCAGAACCTCTCCTGCTTCCCCTCTATTCTCTGTAGTCTTCACTTTACCTGGAAGTAGTAACCCCATGTGATGCTCTAAAACTGACTCCACCCCCATTCATATGTTGAAGTCCTAATCCTTAGTGTCTCAGAAAGTGAATGTTACTGAGAATAAATAAAGCCTTTAAATGAAAATAAAGTTAAAATAATGTCATTGAGATAGGCCTTAATTCAATGACTGGTGTTCTTGTAAGACATTAAGACACCATTAGGTAGAGAAAAAGACTGAAGACACAAGAAAGACAGCCATGTACAACCTGAGAGGTCTTAAAATACAACGCTGCCAATACCTTGATCTGGCTTCCAGCCTTCAGAACTGAGAAAAATTATTGTTGCTTATGCTCCTTAGGCTATGACACTTTGTGATGCCAGCAGGAGTGACTGACACATGCTATGACCCCTAGTCTTACAACTTGGAAAAAATTCTTTACTAAACTTTCCTCAAATCCACTTATTTCTTGTTGGAACCCTGACCGACCCAATAAGGTTATAAATGACTCATATACTTGGTTATAACCATATATTTTAAGAATTTCTACAATAGCCATCGAATACTTCTTTGTAAAGATATGAACAGTTATGAAAACATTTGGATTGGGTAATTTCCATGTTAACATGGATTTATAGGGCCAGGGAGATAGCTCAGTGGCACAAGCACTTGTCTGGGAAGTGCAATGTCCCAAGTTCAATCTCCAGTACAAAAAAAAGATGAATTTATAAGCAATGGCACCCAACACTAACACTACTCTTTTCTCCCACATATCCTCTGCTCAGAATTCCTAGTGCTGCATCTAAAGGATTATTTTAAAAAAGAGGGTATTTGTGCTGTAGCTAGGGAAGTCTGCCATTCTTGGCTAAGAATCCACAAGTATTTCTGACAGCTATAATACCTAAGGTGGCCAATTACCCCTACTTTCTTTGGTGGGAAAGAGCAAAGCTCTGTCTGTTGGAGTACCCATTAAATGTCCCATGATACTAGCCAGACTCACAGGAAGGCAGCATCAGGAAAAATCTAGCTCTAATAAGCAACCAATCCTGAGAGAGGAAAGAAGGGGAAATGGCCTGGAAGGGCACACTTACAGCTGCCACCCCCAGCAGAAAAGAATTTTCTTCCCTTGGGAGTCACAACTCTTGTGATACTACTACCCATATTTTTCCCAGGCCTGCTGAGTTTATCAGTTTCAGGAACATTAAAGGCACACTGCAAAATGTCTTGCTTTGAAATTTAGAAACAAATTTTATTTAAGATCTGAAATACAATTCCTAAAATATCAACTTTGCCAGAAAACTGTGTCTACACAATAATGCATTGCCTCTATCATGTTAGAACGTGCATTAGACTCAAATACAAAAACCAAGAAACAAATCACCATCCTTCAACAATTTGATCAAAACCATGAAACAAACCACCATCCTTCAATAATTTGAGCCATAGAATACCTAAGGAACAACACAGGTGGATTTGCAGAGGATGGGCTGTTTTACTTCATTCAAGCACCATAAAAAAAAAAAGAGCACAAATGTATGGGTTTTCAGGTATATACATTAAGTTGAACCTTTGGCACTAGGAATCAGGGCGTTTTGTAACATAGCATTTAACACATATTAGAAAATTGTGTAGTGTCAAAGGGATAGAACCACCAGCATTTAAGCAATGTTGTCAACTAGGCAATAAAATGGTCTACTGAATGTTTTTTGTCTAATTACTGCATACACTGGTAGCAACTTTGAAATGAGGAAAGGAGTTTATACTCCTTTTATTTTCTGTTTAAAATAGAACAGAAAACAAACTGAAACATAAGCCCTGTTATACGCTGACAATTTTAAAGAACATCAATTATACAAGTAAAAGACTAAGAACAGAAAGTGTTTACAGATACCAGACATCAGTGGTGAGCGGTCAGTAGACCCTCACAGGGCTTTGCGATGGTAGTCAGCAGAAGCCACTTTGTAATCACTGGCAGTAAACAGTGATGCAGAATTCTTTGCCAGATACTTTAGGAAATCATGCAAATAGCCCAACA